AGTTTGCTTTTATAACTTTTATTGGTTGGGTTGTTGTTGTTGTTGTTGTGTTTCCCTGACTGCTCGCCTATTTTTTTTTTTTTTTTGCACAATTATCATTGGTTTCTGCGACTGCGAGTTTTTGCTGGCTTTTTACGATTATGATGCCCGGTTTCATAGCAAATGAGCTAATTTAGATGCCTTAATGGTTTTATAATTGTACTTGGTCGCAGATTTTTATGGCAAGCGTTTCTGTTTTTGTGTGTAAGCTGGATTACGATGCCCGGTGTTTGAGACGGGCGAATTATATCTGCTTTTGATTGAGTTTTTTCTGGAACTTTTTGCTCGCGTACCTGCAAGTTCGTGTCCTAAGTCTTTTGGTTTTTTATTTGAGTCGCTTGGAAATAAAGTTATTTGGAAATTTCTGTTAACTAAACAAACAGAATATAGTCTAAAGTCACCATTTTTTAAAATACTTTCTCTTTTGATTTATTTTTTAAAATATTGTTAAAAAAAAATAAGAACTGAAATCTACGGTTGCTTAAGTGTAAATCCTTGTACCTTGCAAAAAGCGTTTTTTCAATAATTAAGAATTGTTTTTATTTCAAACCTATTTATTTATCCTTACGGTCCACATTCCAAGCTTCGCGATTGGAGAAACACATTTTTTATCGACCCAAATAAGGTATGGTGTGTTGCAGTCGCTTGTCTCTTTTTGTAGCTAATGAACTCTCACAGTTTATTTGCGCCTAAAAGTCAACAAATGCCACACCACAGCGGCACCACCAACCTCAAACCAGCAACAAGAACCGCTTTGAATTGCTTTTGTCAGGTCATTAGCGTTGACTAAAGTCGCCTTAACTTAGACTCCTTTGGAGGGGGGCTCAGTACCCTCGTTCTGGCCACGCCACTGTCACAGTAACAAAGTGTTGCAACATTGTTGCATTTGGCTACGTTGGCGGTCGTTAAACGAGCACAAAACCCAGCCCTGGGCAACATAAAGCAACAACAACAACAACAACACGGAGGAGAAGGCGTATTTCGTCCCCATCATCAAAAAAAAAAAAGACATGACCACCGATAGGTTCAGAAGAGGCGGCGGGCAAGCTGCGACTTTATTACCACTTCTATAAATGATTTCCGCTATTAAAGTGAAACATTTTTGCATAATTTTTCACTCAGAAAGGACAACAAGTAACAGCACCAACGAAATCGTTCAGGAACTGGGGGGCGGGTGGCGGCGAAATTCCTCACGCTTCATGTGGCCCGCCAGGTATGCCCGAAAATTCCACACCACAACGCCTACCCAGACCCATATACTCTCGTGATCCGAGTTAAGGGCCTCCTGCCAGTCCTCGTTCATCGTCATCGTCAACGTCTTCTTTGGTCGGTTTTTGATAATGCCTCTCCTCCAACTCCAACTCCAACTCGATCACATCCGCCATCTGAAGACCCCCACCCTTCCGCCGATTCGCGTCCATCTCGTAACCTGTTGAAATGTGTGACAAATTGGGCGTAAAGAGGCCTCGGTCCTTCCCCTTCCCGAGATTCTGTCCCATTAAACCCCCGAGCATGAAACGTGGGCGTGACAGCACCGATTTTGGTTCAGATTTTTTTTAAGGCCTTTCTTACGCGTAAAAGTCTGAAAAGTATGTTTTGTGCGTTCTCAGTGCAGAGATTGAGTCATAAATTATTATGTTTATTACATTTTGAGCTTAAGAGCAGTTTGCGGTATGAATATATGTACAAAAATATGGGCTTAGTACTCAATGATTTATAGCCAGCATTTCAGCATAAAGAATTGAATGCAAAGAAATGTAAATTTAATCTTTACTTATTATATATTTTTTTTTAGTTTGTTTTTTATTCGTTTTCAAGTTTTAGTTCTATTCCTCGTGATCTCTTTCTTTATTTTATTGCTACTTTAACATACGGAAGCTTGATGTTCCTGATCTTTGTCCATAAAGAAAGTTTATTTGCTTGTTAAGCTCGAGGTCGTGGTTGGTTATTTGGTTGGTTATTATATTTTTATTGCACAACTTTACAACTTATGTATATAAGACGAGTAAAATTTTTTTTAATTTAATTAGTAGTGAACCCGTCTATCATACCTATTTCAAATTCTGTTAATATTTTATTGTCAATGTATTCATTTAAACAATCTTAAGTTGCTTTTGTATTTAATCTCAATTTAATTTATGATACTTTCTGGTAAAATGAATAGTACATGCCCTCCTTCTTCGGTTAAAATCCGCTCACAGTTGTTTTTCCCAGGGTTTTAAGCGTTTTCACTTTCCCCCTTAAACGGCGGCGTCTTTTTCCACACATCGGTCACTTGTTAACGGACAAATCGGCAACAAAATTAATCACACAACATGAGATGTGTTGCGGTTAAATGGTGTTTATGTTTTTTCGTAGTCTTTGCGTTTTCGCAGCCGTAACTGGCATCTTGTACAATTTCTTAAAAACTCATTAAAATTGTTGGCTGGCAAGGAAACATACGAGTAGAGATACATATTTCCCAGTTGCCACAACATGAAAACAGCATTGAATAGAAAAAGGAAACAAGGCGGACGAAAGAAGAAAGATGCAGGCAGGCCAAACGAAAAGCAATTTTAATGAAGCCAACGTCGCAGTCACTTGTTGCATTTTCTGCTGCAGTTGCTGTTGCAGTTGCATTTGCAGTTGTTTCTGTGGCAGGCCGCATTGTTGCTGCCTTATAAGCACGGCATGCATTTGTTGCCCGCAATGCGAGTGGCACGATGTAATTGACATCATTAGACTAAAGCGCAGCGGGTTCGACTAGAAAGTGGCCGGCTCTTCCTCTTCCTTCGCGGCACCGTTAGCAACATTACCGTTCTACGGGCGACACAACCCACCCACCGCAAGTTCGTGTCCTGAGTCTTTTGTATTCTCTTGGAATTTATTTTCTATGAAAGAATGTGGATGGCATATTATTCCATTAAATTTGAATATTTTACAGCGAATGGCATATGCTTTTGTCCTTAAAATGGATTGGAAATCCCATAGAAAACTGTTTTATTTATAATACTCAGAGAATAACAAAATAACCTTACATTACAATTTCTTGATTGATTTTTCATAATATTTCGTCAAGTAGATAACAATGCTAAGTGAGAATGTAAGTGTCCTCAGACTTTTTCTATGATTATTTTTGAAATATCAATATCTATCGATTTTAAATACTATACTTGTCATTCCAAAAAGAAAGTATTTTAAAAGGACAATTGGGCGTGAATGTTTAACGAATTTCTTTAACATTATTTGAGCTTTTTAACACATTTACACGTATTTAATTATCAAATTCGTGTGTCCGTCCTATAAACCAATTAGGTTTAGTTTTAACATGAAAAACCTTAAAGTACTTTTTATGACATCGTGCCACGATGCAATTCACATAATTATACTAAGGTCAAAGTAAAAAGAATCCCCTCCACTGCACCATTACCCCGATTACCGTTCCACGGGCCGCACGACCCACCGCGATGAGGAGAATCACAAGGAACCCCACAGCGAGTCAACGAGGGCCCAATTATGCAAATATTTAAATGAAAATAAAAATTAATATAATTATTTCGTGCTGGAGCTTCGAATTCCTAATGCCATTGTCACATAAATTTCGAGTTTAAGCATTTTCGGTCCAGACTTTCGTTGGGAATTTATGGGGACTCATGCTCACCATGGAATGTTGCTGGAGACTGGAAACCGCTGGCTTTGTTCTCCTTTCCTCTCCACTCTCTTCTTTTCTTTTTATTGTTTCTCGCTTTGTTTTATCACAGGCTGCAGAATTATTTTGGATTAATTTAATGGGTGAAAATGTGGCACAAGAAAGTGTAATTATACGGAATTAGAGCAAACTTGATTGCGATTTCCTTACGATTAAGTTGGCAATAGGTCAATAATTATAAGTAATGATCAGTTTGTCTTAATTTATGCACTCAAAGTGATTAATTTGCTTATTTGTGCGACCGTTATTTGCTTGTTATTCGCAAGTTTTGTTTAAGTATTATATAAATTTGAAAACTTATGCAGCAGTCGTGGTTGCATAAATTAAAAATTCATTTTTATGGCTCTTATGTGTCATTTTGGTTAGTAATTTATGTAGAATACGGCTTGGCCAACAACAAGAATCCAACGAAGAAGAAGAAGAAGACGAAGGAGAAGTCGCACTCACTCACACACACACAGTCTCACAAAAACACAAACGCGGGTCAAACAAGTCAAGCAACTTTTTTCATCTCTTTGGCCAATCTTTGGATTGCCTTCCTTTTTTTCTCTTCTTTTTATCCCCCTTGTTATTAGTAGCATTTACTTAGGAATGCACCAAAGCGAGAACGTTTCGGAAAAATTACAACAGCCACAAGTGCACAACTGAAAAAATCAGTTGGAAAATGCTTTTGGCCTGGTTTTCAACGGAGAAAGAGAGCGAAAAGGGAGACAAAGAGAGAGATTCATAAATTCCCGATCGCGAACAGATGTCAAAGCCAGTTGTCGAGTTCAAAGGCCGTTGCCGAAAATCTCTCAGCTTTTGGCCCGCATTTTTTCGCAACTTCACTGACTTTTCGCTTTTGTTTTTTTTTTTATTTGGCTTGGTCAACAACAAATTTGCAACAGCCACCGCTACACACACACACACAAGTCAACACACACTCACTGATCTTGTTGTTGCCCGAACCGGAGTCCGCGTTTTTGTTTAGATGTTGTACGAGCCGCATGCAAAATTCAACTGTGCGGAGAAAATCGAGGTTTAAGTCGAGAGAGCGGCTTAAAAAACAGGTACACAACTAAGTGGCGCCACAAAATCCATTGAACGATCTGGTCACTCTAAACGAGATGAGAGCAATCAATGCTGCCAGATGGTTTTACACACAAAAAACATTTTAAGATTACTTTTACTCCTGTTCTGGTTCATATTAATATATCTTATTCTGCTTTCTAAGTTTTCTTCACAGATACCGGCCTCAATCAAATTTCCACCCAAAATAATAAAAACTACAAAATTTACGCAAATAAATTGGTCTTTATTTTTTATTGAAAATTGAACGTAAACTACTTAAGTTATATCTTAGAATAAACGCTAATACGATACTTAACCAAATTAATTTGTACCTGAAACGTTGGGTCCAAGTCGTCTCGCATTGCTTTACAATTCCTCTTCGCCGCCAAGAGGAATAAAAGCGGGCAGGGTCCCAAGTTTTGGTCGTCTGCGAAAGCCGCTTGTGGCTTCCGTTTCCGCTGGGTCCTCTTTCTTCACTTCCGGATCTTCCTCGTTGGGTATTGTTACTTCCACCTGCTCGCCTTCGCACCTAAAATACCGTGATGTGGTGGGCAAATCCTCCTCCTTGGCTGGCTCTTTTGGGATCTTCGGAATGCTGAGAGTTTTACCTCCCGCTTTAGGACGGGACTTGACCAACCGCCTTGATGACGGCTTCTTGCAGAACACGCACTTGGACAACTCGCACTTGCCCTTGCGTTCCAACTCCGGGCAGGCAAACTCGTGACGCTTGTTGCACTTAAAGAAGCAGGGGAGTTAATGGGTTATCACCGGATCTGGTGACCTGACCAACTTACCTCGGCAGCCAGCGGACAATAGCCGCGCACAAAGTCAATGCAGATCTCGGCCTTCCTGCTGAGCTTCTTGTGCAGGTAGGGACAATCCTCGCGGACGCAAACGCCTTGCAAATAGTACCGACACACGGGCATCTTCTCCAGGGTGATATTGTGCGAGAGCAGGCAGTCGGCCTTGGTGCATTCGCCGCGCAGGAAGCTGCAAATAGAGGATTTCAAGAAGGTAACCGCATTGGGGACTCTGCACTGGAAACGGCATCGAAGGGTTAGCACTCCTCGCTTGGCCTGGGACAAACCTGACACAGATGGCGACCTGCCGCTTGTCGTGCAGCTTGCGACACTTGCCACGGCTGTGGGCAGCGCACTTGCCAAGTTTCTGGAAGATGGCACAGGGCACGTTGGTCTTCACTAGCGACTTGTTGAGCAGCGTCAGACTTCTCTGCCTGGCGGTGATCAGGTGGGCTCGCGACACGTGATTGCTGGTGCGTATGAAGACATTCTGCGTCTTGGGCGAAGCCACATAGGTAAGGCCGCCAATATCGATGCGCCGCAATATGCTTCGATTCACGCTCATCTGGGAAGCAGCAGCAGCAGCAGTTGCTGAAGGTGGAACTCTGGTCAAACGGCAGCCGGATGGATCTAAGATGAACTTGTTGCCGCTAACGAATAGCGTTCTGCCGGAAACGGAACGCTTGAGGGTCCTCGGGGTCTCCGATTTGGTTATCCTTGCTGAACTGGCATCCACCTTGGTTATCTTGTTCTTCGATATCTTCCTGTACATCACGCCGTGTATGCTGACCATGCTGAGGGATTTGTTGACGCCCAGCTTTAGCACCTGTGGCTTGGAGCTGTGAGAGGAAAGGTACATTAATTTAGACAGTACCCACATTTCTTACTTTGATTTCTTGTTGGGGAATAGTAGGCTTTGCGACTTGCATGCTCGTTGACGATTGGAAACTGAAACTTACCTCAACTTCTTTTTGGGGTCTGCTTCATTGGTGCGTCTCAGGGCGTACTGGGCCACAAACTCACGCAGAGGACGACGCTTCTTGACCAGAGGTGTACATGTCAGCGATATGGAGCGCACTAGCTTGTACCTGGTGCGTTTGGCAGTTGGCACAGGCGGAGGCGGATGGGGGGCATTGACCGTTGACGTGGCATTTGCAGCTCCTTGACGCACAATCTTCCGCTTGGAAATGCTTACCAGAGGAGGCTGCACGAGGCTGGAAACCGGGTGAACGGGCGGAGGAGCAACGGACCTCACCGGAGCCTTGCGCACAAGACATGTGCTCGCTTTGCTGATGATCTTAGCGGGCGGAGGAGGTGGCGTGGCCCCAACAGAACTCGAAGGCAATGGATAATCCGGTTGGTAATAGGAGGCGGAAACCTGTTGCAGCAGAAGCTCCTTCTGATCCCTTTGCAACTGCTCGTACATGGCCCGCTGGCGCTGCAGGAAGTGCGGATTGATGTGAATGGCGGGCTGCGACTGCGGGGGCGCATGGAAGGGCGCCTGGAAGGGCACCTGGAACGGCAGCTGATGCGCAGTTTGACCTTGCAGTTGGAAATTGGGATTAATGTACACCTTCCGCGACATAGATGGCTGGCCCTCGTCGGCGCTTATGTGGGGCAACATTTTGTCACTTTTCTGGGCAAACCTATTGATTCAATCGTTCTCTGGTTAATTTCTAACTTTTAACACTTATTTCTAATGCTTCTTTGTACTGATTTTTGTTACGTGTGTTGCAGTGTGAACATTAGTTGAGTTGTGTTAAATACCAAAAAATACTGGATTATGGAGTAGTCAAAGAGTACTTAAAAATACTATTGGTATACCTTTGATTTGATCATATTTTATTTTTATATTTAAAGTTTAACCATTTCACAGGTAAACGTTTCAAAACTTTTAATTGGAACCAGTATTTTTTTAAATCACTAATTTTAAATTTAAAACATTTTAAAAAAGGACACAAATAGAATACCGCGCCAATATGGTCACACTACATAACGTTTAAAGTTTACTGTGAATGGCAACATCATATGTCTGGCAAAACGTGGATTTCATTTGCGGAGAACTTTTTAAACGGCAATTTTGAATTAAAATGGGCAAGGATCGCGGCAGGGGACGCAGGAACCATCACTCAGGGCCGTACAACAAGAGCAACTGGCGTGGCCAGAAGAGGGATCGTCCTCAAAACAATGGAGGCCAACGCAACAGGTAGATATGTATGTCATCTTATACACAACATACAATTTTAACCGGTTTCTATTTTCATGGGCAGATCTACGCCACAACAGAAATCCACGCTGCGTGAGAACCAAGTGGGCATTACAGAGTTCACCAATCCGGAGGCACCTGGTTTCACGGGCATCCTCAAGTCCCGGTTCTCTGATTTTCACGTAAACGAGATTGATAGCACCGGAAAAGTCCTGGAACTTAATGATCTAAGCGTGCCAAAAGTGGCCATTGTGGGTTTGTATTGGGTTGAGTATAGTAAGACTTCAAAGTGTCTATGTATGTCATCATATTCCAGCTGTGGCCGAAAAAGAACTGGACAACTGGCGGCAGGAACTGGAGGCAGTGATTGGTCCCGAAGTCTGGAAGGATATTGCCAACTTGGCGGAGGCCAAATACGACCCAAAGCTCGATCAAAAGGTGGAGATCGACGTTACAAGTCTGGACAAGGAGCAGCGCACACAAGTCCATCAGCTAGTCAAGCAGCTTTACAAGGGTAAACTGATGTCCACCACCATTGGACAGCCACAGGTTAAACCCAAAGCACCAGAGGATCCGGCCCTGGAGGGAAAGGATGCTGCTAAGGATGAAACACCAGCTCAGGAAGATAATCAGGCACCAGCGGAGGAGAAGAAAACTATAAGGATAATTAAACCAAAGCCAGGACGTAGTTAGTAACGTGGATTATCAAGAAAAACTTAACTTTATGATATCATTTAAATAGGCGATAATAGATGGAACTTTCCAGGGGATTATGTTACGTTCCTGGTGCACAAAACCAATTTGGTGACCAGTGAAGTGGCCTCTACTCTGGCCTCACGAATACAGTAAGTTAAATTGTTGCTAAATTAAAATTTAGGGTGGTTCGCTTCAGATTCTACAACTTTTAGTTAAGATTTGAAAAATCAACTTAAAATGGAAGAATCTAATATCGTTGTTTTTTTCAAGACAACTCTCATATTAATTTTAAAACATTTTGTTTTAGAACCCTTAATAATAATGAATTATTTCTCAACAGTCTGCGACCGTCGCAGGTCAACTACAGTGGCATTAAGGACAAGCGAGCCAAGACCACGCAGAAGTTCTCCATTAAACGCCGTACGCCGGAGAGCATCTTGAACGCAGCTCGCTGCCAGCGAAATGTCCAAGTTGGCAACTTTGCATTCCAATCCAATACACTCAAGTTGGGAGACCTGCAGGGCAATCGTTTCCGCATCGCCCTGCGGCACATAGCCAAGGAGAAACGGGGCGAGATCGAAGTGGCTCTGGAATCTCTGCGGGAACGGGGATTCATCAACTACTATGGACTGCAGCGGTTCGGCAACAGTGCCACCGTGCCCACCTATGAAGTGGGTGTGGCCCTGCTCAAGAGCGATTATAAGCTAGCCTGCGAACTGATCCTCAAGCCGCGCGACTCAGACGTGGAGTTCATGCGTCCCATCCGCGAGGAGTGGCTTAAAAATCGCGACTCGGCGGCGGCGGCTGCAAAGATCTACGGGGACAAGTTCATCGAGAAGAAGCTGCTGGACGGCTTGGCCAGATTTGGGGAATCGGATTACTCCTCGGCACTGCGGCAGATACCACGCAACATGCTTATGCTGTATCCTCATGCCTACCAAAGCCTGATCTTCAATAGGATTGCATCCAGAAGAATTAGGGAGTTTGGCCTGAAGCTGATACCGGGAGACTTAGTTTATGTGGAGCAGGAGAAATCTGTGGACGGTGTGGAGGAGCAAGAGCAGCAGACGGAGGATTTGGAGGAGCAAAAGGAAGCTGAGACTTCCGAAGATCCGCCAGAAACCGTTGAAGAGGAGGAAACCATCGAAGAGGAATCGCTTTTCAAGCGCAAGGTTCGCCCACTAACTGCTGAGGACATCGCCAGTGGCAAGTTCCAACTGTCGGACGTGGTGCTGCCTCTGCCGGGACACGACATCACCTATCCCAGCAACGAGTGCGGTACCTGGTACGAGGAAATGCTGGCCGAAGTGGGTCTCTCCTCGGATCAGCTCAAGCACAAGGAGAAAACCTATGCTTTGGCTGGGGCCTATCGCAAGATGATCATATCCTCCAGCGATCTCAAGTGGAGCTTCAGGCTGTACAACACGCCGGAGGACACCCTGATTGCCTCCGACTGGGAGCTACTAAGGAACATTCCAGTGACACCAGAGCCCGCTGAGAATGAGGCCAAGTATTTGGCCCTATTGCTGGAATTCTCGCTGCCCACGGCCGCCTATGCCACCATGTTTCTGCGGGAACTCTTGAAGCAGGACACATCCTCAGCCTCGCAGACGCAGTTGGAGAAGGAGGCCATGTGTAAGGGGGAAACCGAAAAGGAGGCGGAAGCCATGGAGGAGGAAGTGCAGGCAGCCAAGGAGGCGGTAATTGAGGAGGAAGTGCAGGCCAACTGAGATACCAAAAATCAATATGCTAAGGGAAATCAATTTTACGCGCGCTTCGTATCCAACTTCAAACCAACCACAACAATAACAAATGCGCACGTGAGGACAAGGGCTGCTCTCTCGCATCCTCTTTCGCGCTCTCTCTCTCTCTCTCTCTCTGCTCTTCGCTCTCTTCGGTCTCGCTCCCTTTCTGCCTGGGAGGAGAGTCCTTTGGTCCTGTCCCTTTGGCTCTTTGGCTGGCGATTTCATTCGTTCGGTGACCAGCAATGTGAAAGCTCGAAACGACGCGCTGCGCAGTTTTCCCAGCTCAAAAGTCCAAGTCGCACGGTTTTCCCCCAGCGTTCTCAATGAAGAGCAATAACAAACTATCAATTAACAATAAATAATAAATAACTGTGGTACCCCAAAAATCCAGAAACTCGATCCAGTGCATCCAAAGGATATATTAAAAGCAAAATAAATAAAAACATAAGGAAGAGAGCCAAGGTGAATTACCAGTTAAATGTAGCATTTAAACGTTTTGGGCGCGTATTTTGAAAACCCATTTATTTAGGCGTAAGTATAAAAAATCGAATTGTTAACAAATCAGTCTATAATTATAGAAGCGGACAACAACAATGAACTAACAGCCACAAAAGCTGTACAATATTTTATTTCGGCTCTGTCCGCTTATTGATTTTTGTTGTGTGCTTGTGCTGAAATCAATCGATAATACGGTGTTAATACCAAAAGCAGGGTTTCGGGAATGGGAATGGCGATGGCGATGGTGATGAATATGGGGAAGGTGGCTGGCCGTAGGAGTAGTTCATATATAGTGGCTTAGTGCGTCGGGGATGAGCACTTGGTGGGTTCTCGGGGGGGTAGTGGCATCCGTCGTTAAGGGTGCACGACGCTCCTCGCTCGTTATGTTTTTGTTTCGGCCCTTCCCCCCTTTGGGAGTCCTCAAATGAATAAACTAAATGCTTGTTTTGGCGTCGTCGCCTCTGCACCCGCCCCGTCCCGCCTCGGTGGGGTTCTTCCCCCCGATCCGCTCCAGACTTGGGGATATTGGACATGTTATTGCTTGCGCGCGCACTCTTTGACTCTTTGACCAGTTCTGTTCCAGTCGCCAGCAGCTGCGTCATAGTAGGAGTTTTTTGGCGTGGCTGAATTCGATTTTCCATCGCCTACCACCTGCCTACCTCGCCAAGCAAAAGTTTTTTGGCCATACAGATTGCTTCCTATTGCACTGCCATATTATCCCCCAAGTCCTTGGTTTACAAATCTCTCTGTATTTTGATGCTTTGTCTTGAGGTTCATAAAATACTTCTTTGTTACCTTAACACTTGGTAGTTGTTATTCGAACTGATACAGTGATATATCTAATCTCGTGTCAATAATTCAAATAACTTTGAACAAGCCCAGACTCAATTAGAAATCATATATTAGTAGAGTTACAAACTTTTAAAGGGCTCAAAATGCAAACCTTAATGTTTAAATATTAATAGCAGACCATCTGAGATACATGACAATAGAATGATTTAAATGTTTAATTTTAATAAGTTTGATTTAAAATTTTGCATAAAGTTAAATAAAGCTTTTGTATAATATTTAACTGTGGCAGACTGGTTATCTATTATTTTAACTTGTGAATTATCTGTTTATCAGTAAATTAAGAAAGCTGTGATGAAGTAAATCTAGCTTAAATTACATTTTTTAATTGAGATTTGACTTCATTAAATTAGGTTTCTTTAAATTTTCCAATGCAAGTTGACATACAATAATCAATTTGTTTTTAAAAAACAATGTATATAGTTAAATCATTTCCTTAATTTTGATTACAATTCATTTTTTAGTTTCAATTTAAGAGAGTTAGTGTGATGATTTCTAGTAGATATCAAATTTACAAATGATTTCTAGATGAAAATAGTGACTTGCTTGTATCCTAATATTGTAAAATTCCTAAATAACTATATCATCGATTTGCTCTTCGTTGAGGGCGCGCAGATTGCATTTGCAAAGGTAGGCCAGAATCCTTTTCTCCGCCTTGATACGATTTGCTTCTCCGAGTCCTTCGAGCAATGCCTCGATCCTCTTTTCCGTTTTAGCGGGAGCAGCTGATGGAGCGGCAGCAGCAGGATTTGTGGGTGCTGGTGGAGGGGCTCCCGCCACAGCCAACTGCTCATCCATGGCCTCCTGCAGCGGATCCTCCTCGTCGTTGACTTCCTCGATGGATTTCATGGAGCTTCTACTCACATCTCCCGAATTTCGATGATTTATTGGGTGGTGATGATGTTGTAGGAAATGTAGTTGAGGCAGGAGGCTCCAATCGGAGCCAGCACCTCCGGCCTTTTCTTTGGACAACTCCCGTCGGTGCTTGGCCGCCAGATAGTTCCACCGACTAAGACAGGCACAAGCTAAATGGGCATATATGATAATTTAATAGTATTCACTTAAAACATATAAAATTGTTTACCATCTGTATTCAAGGAAGTGGATATGCTGCGCCAGATTTCCGTATTCCGCTTTTTATTGGCCTCATAGGGCGTGCTCCTTAGTTCCCGCTCATAGAGCTTGGGATTGGCCCTCACCAACTCTATAAGTCGCGTGTCAAACTCCGACATTTCAATATTTTCAAAATGAAAACAAATAACAAGTTTTGTAAACAAATGGTTAGCGGATATGTGTGACCGTTATTCCAGTTCGCAAATATGCAGGGACCAAAGAACAGGGTTGTTGGGCACGCAAATTCACCACACCTGGGGTGGTGAGGTGGAAATGGGAAATTCAAAAAGGCCACCCCATCGTCTGGCGGCATTTATTGATTTATTTATTGATTTTATCGTTGTGCAGGCGCTGCCCGCCGCAGAGATGGCCGCCGAAAACTATCACCTCAAGTGGGACTCGCACCTCTCCTATCTAAACTCTTCCATAGCCACACTTTACAAGTAAGTAATTAAATAAAAGAAACCTCTTAATTGCCAAAGTTATTGTAGCTCTCAAGTGAAGACTAGTTTAACGTTTAATATTCTTATAATATTTATGTTTAAAAAGCATGGCTTCCTCTTTTATTTATGTATACATTAATGCATATATTTAGTTATAATTAAATTTCTTTACAAAAATCTTGGCAATAGAAACGAATTTTGATTGTAATTTACGCCTTCATCTTTGAATATAAAATAACCTTGCCTTTAAATATAAATAAATCTAGAAAAACTAAATTAAAGTGTTTTAAGAACTTTATCAAATAAACTTCCAAAGCTCATGCTAAAATTAAATATAATCGACTATTAACACTCAAAAACGCTTTACTTTCAATAAACACACTCGTAAGATCAAAGAGAGAATTACTAGGGCAAGATAAATAAACTTAACTTTGTTTCAATAAACTTGTCTATTTAATTGACCCAAATTTTGTTACTCTTTGTCCAGGAACGAGAAGTTCGCCGATGTGGTCTTGTACAGCTCCTACAACAGCAGCGGCATCCCTTCGGACATTCCCACGGTGGGCATCTCGGCCCACAAGTTCATCCTCAGTGCTTCGTCCCAGTTTTTTGCCACCATGTTTGAAACGGCACCGATCACAAATCCAAACGGAGTGCTCTACGTGGTCCTGCCGCCGGATCTCAGTCACCGGGCCATCCAGATCCTGGTGCAGTACATGTACAGCGGCGAGGCCACCGTCTCCAACGACATACTCAACGAGGTGCTGCGCGGCGGCGAAATCCTCAAGATTCGCGGCCTGTGCCGCACCAGCTCTTCCAACGTCGGTGGCTCCGGCTCGGTGGTCACCACATCGCACCATCCTCATCCGCTGACCGGGCATCTGCATCCGCGGGAGTCGAGCGCCATGTACATGTCCAATGGCACCCGTTCCGCCCTGCCACCTCCGCCGCCGCCGCCGCCGTCAACCATGTCGGCTCAGCTGCAGGGAGATCTCTATGCCAGCAAGCCGGGTGGATCGACACGATTCGCAATGGACCACCACCACTTGTCGTCGCATCACAACCACCTAAATCACCATCATCCTCAGCAGCAGCAATTCCGCGGCCTAGGCGTTTCCGTGATGCCCAAGGACTCACCCGTGATCATCAAATCGCCCAAAATGGCCGCTCACACGGGACTCCTTACCGTGGCCAGCAGCAGCAAGTTGGGCATTTCGGTTAACAAGGAGGTGGCCATCGATCCGGAGGACAAGTGCTGCTTTGCGGCACCTGGCCAGGTGGATACACAGTCGCACCCACCACCACCCACCTCTACGACAACGACTGGCGGAGGAGGAGGAGGCGGAGGAGGAACAGGTGCCCCAGCATCCCAGCCCATCTCAATTTGCACGGAGGTGGGCTGCAGTAGTTGTCCCATGACCACTGGACCCAGTGCGGAGCAGGCGGAGACGACGCTGCGGAGGACGGAGTACGAGGAGCAGGCACTTCGAGAGCGGAACGAGGTGGGACTGGTCTTCGAACGACGCCTCAGGAGGGAAAGCGCCTGCGAAAGATGTGAGTTATTTGGAACATTTAATTAAATCTCTTAATTGTTTACTTCAAGCCTCGTAACGATTTTAAATTTGGTTTTAAAAAAATTCTAAATCATTATTATTTAACGTTTACGCAAGTCTAAAAACACTAATATGTAAAAATTTAGCTTTATTAAGTCATTACTAAACGACTTATATTCAAAATAATTACAAGCCAAAACAAAAGTCGAACTGCTCAAATAAATAAACAAGTAATAAATGTGGGTTCCTTAAATCAATATATGCTGAAGAATTCGATGATGGGATGAAGAAAAGAGTATGCCAAAAATAAAGTCGAATTCCTCAGCATAAAATAATCTAAGGAATAAAAAAAATAAATTATGATAGAATTTTAAAATAAAGCTTTAGAAATAAAAATAAATTATGATAGAATTTTAAAATAAAGCTTTAGAATTCGCGAATAGACTATATAACTTAGAGTTTGACCACCCCAAGAAACATTATTTAATATTTGCTATCTCTTTAAATATAGATACATTTCCAAATTATAAATACAAATCTTATTTAATTATCCATCAGCTCGTGATTACTATGAATCTCAGCACTTTGAGCATGTGGTGCCATCCCGCCTGGCTGCCACACCACCGCCACCACAGCAGCCACCACATCCACCGCCGACCCTTCGGCATCCGCACAACTTCCTCACCATCAAACAGGAGCCGACGGACTGGAGCAACAACCCACCTAATGCCGCCAATGCGTCCAACAACAACAACCTGGAGGAGGGGCCACTGGGGTCACCCAAGCAGCCGTTGGACTTTAAAATGTCCGCCGTAAAGCTGGAGGTTAACCGGGATCGCGGAACTCCCTCCGAGGAGAACGAGGAGCACACGCTGCGCGACTACAACAACTTCAAGCAGCTGCTCGTGTGCGAGATCTGCCAGAAGTCCTTCGAGGACACCAAGATGCTGGTCCGCCACCTGGGCACCCATGCCGGCGATCCGGCGGGCGGGACGGAGAGGAACCTCCTGCCATCCAGTGCCAGCGGGAGTACGGCGACCGCCTCCAGCAATCTCGCCCTGCGGACCGTCAAAACCTATGTGCCAAAGAAAAGACGCCGAGTTTCGGTGAGTGATATAGTGATTATGATATTAATATTATAAGTAATAAATCTTATAGCCCTTTTAAAAATGTTTTGAAAATAAAAAAAAAAATTTTAATTAAGAAAAATATTTATTTTAAATTGTATTGGGCTATGGTTTTAGAGTTATAGTTATTTGCAGTGACGCCTGCACACTTTTAAAATACATTTTTTTTTGCTGCTATACAAACTTTAGTGAGCTAACGTTAATTTTAATAAATTGCTAATTGGGAAAAAAGTGCACAGGCATTATTGGACGAGATTTTATAGTTATAGTTTTTATTGTATTTCCTCTAAAAATTTCAAATCGTTATGTGAACGGATATGAGGGCATGTAAGATGCTTAATTGTAAAATTCCGTGCACTTTTTTTTAGGTATAAAGCAAAAAACCAAATTTTCTAAATTTTTTTAACCTTCAGTGTATTTTGGCAAACCATCCTAATTAATTATGTATGAATATTAATTTTTTGCAGCAACAGGAAAACAATATGGACCACGATCATGTCACCCTGCTCTGCGATTTGTGCTCCACGTAAGTAGACTTGACACAATAATCCTACCGAGGGGTTATTTTTTCATATGTTGCCAACTTCCATCACCGCAGATCTTTCGACACGCCCGCGGAATGGGTACGTCATATGAACAGCCAGCACACGGAGATCGAACTGGCCATGTTCAACAGCAAGAAGGATGGCGAGCAGAAGGGGTGTGTGTCCTAAGGGCTAGCACGAGCACTCTGACGAACTCTGTTCACTTGCAGCCAGCAGCACCAGTCGGCGACCAGCAGCTCTTCCACAGTGTCCACCAGCCAAATGCAGCCAAAGTATCCCAGCTCCACCGCCACCCGACCGACGCAGTCCCAGTCCCTCATGCTGCACAAGATGAGTAACATCAATATGGATGCAGTGCCAGCTGCAACCACGTCCTTATCTCCCGGAGCAACCACCTCACCGAATACCTAAGGACAGCCATCCGGATAAGCACATGGATCCATGAATCCAATGATTAGCACTACATCATTTATAGCTGAAGAATTCGAGACTTGATGACATGAAGCCCGGTGTACAACGGATATCACCAAAACCACATTTTGTTCGATAAATTCAACAAGTCGTCGAGTGATTTGATGCTGAAGAATTCGCGACTTGATGACATGGATCCAGGGGATCAGCAGATAACATCAATACACCATTTTGTTCGATAAATTCAAGTCGTTCCAGTAATGAAAAGAGGGATGTTTATAATGCAACAGCAAGAACCGTGATCAAAATGCAACCAGTTTGCATATTTTATAGAGCAACAAACAAAATACAAAATCGCAAAAATAATTAACGAAACTGTAAACGAAACTTAGAATGGGAATCGTCAGGCAACGATGCAAAACAAAACCAAACCAAACCAGAAATTTGAAAACGAAACGAGAACAACAATTAACTCAAGTGTGTAGAATTTTTTTAAGTGTACGTATTTACTTAGTTTTAGCTACTTATTCCCCATGTAATTACTGTAACAACAACGCGCAATTGATACGAAAAAAGATAACTATACAATTTAATCATTTAAAATGTACGAATTACTTGAATAATTTTCATCAGCGGACATTGTCAATAAAATAAAATTTGAAATCCCTTGTGTAAAGCGATTTTCCAAAAGGTTAAACCGAAAAAATACACTTGTAGGACCAAAATCAGCGAAAAGATTAAAATGCTTTATGATAAGCAATTGATTGGTGCAGCGAATATTTCTTATTCTTTATTACTTTCCAATTTGTTTGCTCTTTTTGTTTCTCGAATATAACAACTGATAACTATTTTGTATGTCGCTATCGCGGCTTTATGATGTCAGCAACTCTGTTGTATTTGTACTAGTACTTTTATATATGTTTTATAAGACTTCAGCTTAAATTTCGAGAACTTTTTTGTAAATAGATTAAGTTTTATTTTGAGAGTCCGCCGATCGAAACTTTTTGCGAAAAGTTTATTAACTTAAATCTCTAAATGTGTGTGTAGTAGTTGGAAATTTAAATAAACAACTCCCCCCAACCATGTAAAAATATAATATATATATATAACAAAAACATACATATATATAATATTTACAAGCAGGCGTGATTACTAACAAACTAAGTAGATGTATAAACAATGCAGGAGGAAAACTGTTTCTTCCCCAAACAAATCGCAAAATGTAGCAAAAGCGTTTTAAATTGAATAAACGTCTACGATGAGAAATCGTTTTTAAAAGCGCTACCGAAATGCCGGCAAAATTAAGAGTCTTGTTGCGAAAAGCTCTCGAGCGATTATTCACCAAGTTTTATAAATACAGAGCGCCGACGAAGAGAATTTTCAGTTTGGGTTCCAACGTCGCGTTGACTTCAACAATTAAGTGCATTTTATTTCTACTCCGCTTCAAGTTTTGCAATAACGAAAAACCAAAATGAGTTCTGGTAAACATTTGGCCAAAGGTAAGAGAAATTTACGTGTTGGCGGTGGTAAGAGCAACGCCCATGGCATTATTAATTCATTAACAAAAACAAGTTCTTCAACATTCCACTAACTTAACAAATATCAGTTCACACAATTTCATGAATTTCATGATTTTACTACATACATATACATGGCTATGAATAATGGGGATTTTAAAGTGAATAATATAATGTTTCACGATGTGATCTATAGAGATTCCCATGTATATTTAAAGAAGTTTATATACCCATTAACGATTTTCATTAAAAACTCTTTACTAAGCGATATTCAGTATTATTTTTAGAAAAGAAGAAGTCATCAAATCAATCATATTTTTATTAACTTATCATTTGTTAGTTTAACCCCATTCGTTTTAAATGAACCATAATACTTACACTTTAAAAAGATAACATATTAATGAAAAATTTGTCGTATCACGTCTGGGGCCCTATCAACTTTAAGCCAATGACTTGCAATACTACAGGGGCGGATCCACAAGTTTCCGAGCCCAATCAATAACTAATCAATAATGGTATTTAAAAAATTTATTGCATATAAGACACTCAAGCAAAAATTGCTATGAACACAATCTGCTTTTATGTATTTTACTAAACGGCTTACAAGAAATTCCACTGCTAAATCAATATTTATAGGTTCTGCCAAGCCTGTCCTGCCAGAAGATGGACTCCTCCGCCTGTTCTCCATGAGGTTCTGCCCCTATGCCCAGCGAGCCCATCTCGTTCTGAATGCCAAGAAGGTTCCCCATCACACCGTTTACATCAATCTCACCGAAAAACCAGAATGGTTGGTGGATGTCAGCCCGCTGCTAAAGGTTCCCGCCCTCCAGTTGGTGGAGGAGAAGGATCAGCCCTCACTTATCGAGTCGCTGATTATTGCCGAGTACCTGGACGAGAAGTACCCGGAGAATCCGCTCCTGCCCAGGGATCCGCTGAAGCGGGCCCAGGACAAGATCCTGTTGGAGCGCTTCAACGGCATCACAAGTGGCTTCATGAAGATCCTAACGCAGAACACCGGTTTGGATGAGTTCTGGACGGCGCTGGACATCTTCGAGCAGGAGCTGGCCAAGCGGGGCACCCGCTTCTTTGGCGGCGATAAACCCGGATTCGTGGACTTCATGATCTGGCCTTGGTTCGAGCGCCTCTCCGTGATCGAACTTCAGTTGGGGCAGGAGTATAGCTTCGACGAGAAGCGCTTCCCCAAAATAACCCAGTGGATTGCCCTTCTGAAGGAGGATGCGGTGGTCAAGTCCTTCTATGCCACTCCCGAGCAGCATAACGAGTTCTGGAGGACCCGCAAGGCCGGCAATGCCAACTACGATTTGCTGGCTTAGATCAGTACCTAAAATTAATTTAAAAGGCAAGACATTTAAATATTTTAGTATAATAATATAATTACAAAATAATTTAGAAAAAAATAAAACACAACACCTTGTTTAAATATTCATGTTTTTCATGTTTTTTTTTATAAATTTATGTACCATCAAAAAATGATTTCCAACTGACATAACGTGGCGTATGAGCAATTTTTACGGAAACTTAAAAATAAAATTGTTTGGTTTTTGTATACATCAACCACATTAAGCGGTGAGAGTAAAGTATTTTGTAATGTACGTAACTTTTTATTGATAATTTAATCAGGTCTTTTTAGAGTTTACTTATTTAAATATCGTCTTTTTGACTTTAAAGTTTAAGCTTATGTCATTCAGCAAAGACCAATACATTCAATGATTTTCCGAACCCCATTAGGAATTTGCATTATCTAAAATCTTTTCAGAATAGTTTATGTTACTTTTAATTAAAACCTATTGGTGTCAGAATAATAATGCTATCAGAATATTATTTGTATATTCCTTTTGGCGAGTATAAAGAGGCTTATCTGTATTCACCGGACTGAGCATGTGTGTCAGCCGCAAAGGTTGCTCCGGCCGCCAAGTTCAGTCGCGTAAGTAAAGCCAGCCGGCGAAGGGCAGCTAGCTAGTGGGTCTTTATATACCACTCGAATGGCAATCACAGTCATCACTTGCATCTCCAGACCCCGAGCACGCACATCATGAGCAACGGCAGGCATTTGGCTAAAGGTGGGTGGGTGGATGTGGATCTAGGCACTCAGATGCCACTGGAAACTAATAAATCTCTCTCGTGGCAGGCTCATCCACGCCGGATGTGCCCGAGGACGGCATCCTGCGGCTGTACTCCATGCGCTTCTGTCCATTTGCCCAGCGCGTGCATCTGGTTCTGGACGCCAAGCAGATCCCGTACCACAGCATTTACATCAATCTCACAGAGAAACCGGAGTGGCTGCTGGACAAGAATCCGCAGGGCAAGGTTCCGGCTCTGGAAATCGTTCGGGAGCCAGGACCACCGGTGCTCACGGAGTCACTGCTCATTTGCGAGTACCTGGACGAGCAGTATCCGCTGCGACCGCTCTATCCACGTGATCCGCTCAAGAAGGTGCAGGATAAGCTGCTGATTGAAAGATTTAACGCGGTGCTGGGTGCCTTCTTCAGGGCCTCCGATGGCGGTGAGCTGGAGCCCTTCTGGAGCGGCCTGGACACCTACGAGCGTGAGCTGAGTCGGCGCGGCACTGACTTCTTTGGCGGCGAGCAGACGGGCATTCTGGACTACATGATCTGGCCCTGGTGTGAGCGCCTCGAACTCCTAAAGTTGCAACGCGGCGAGGACTATAACTACGATGAGGAACGCTTCCCGCAGCTGGTGAGTTGATCCTCTGGGTTAAAGGGGTAGGTGCATCATTAACCGATTTGTTTTAGACCCTTTGGCTGGAGCGCATGAAGCGGGACCCTGCTGTGATGGCCTTCTACATGGAGGCCGAGGTCCAGGCGGAGTTTCTGCGCACGCGCAGCTTGGGTCAGCCCAACTACAATCTGCTGGTCAAGGATGCCTGATGCCCGATGCTGATGCACTTGGTTTATTTGAATTGTTAGCATGGAATGAATAAAACATAGTTGCAGTTCAAAACCGGTTTCAAAGATTTGATCTTCACATAACCAGTTGGCATTCTAGAGCTTGCCCTTGAAGGCTATGTCGTACTGGGGATTGCCCACAGTCTTGGATTTCTGGAACTCGGCATGCAGCTGGACATCCAGAGCGGTCTTCTGCACTGCCCCATCCTGAGCCACCAAGTCGCGCCACTTAAGCTGAAATTGTAGGGCTTAGAATAAGAGATCCTCTTGAATTATGTTGTTTTTACATACCAGCTTCTCAAATCTCTTGACATCCAGTTCGTACTTCTGCTTGGTATTGAGTTTCATGATTGGAAAGCGTTCAAACCAGGGCCAAATCATGTAGTCCACGATACCAATGGTTTGGCCAGCGAAGAAAGGAGTTCCTCTTTTGATCAGCTCCGTTTCAAATACATCCAGGGCTTTCTCAAACTTTTGTAGAGCATCTGGAGGAGCATTGGCATTGCATGTTAGCACTGGATAAACAGCGCTGACCACTGGAGCAAAGCGTTCGATGAGAATCTTGTCCAGCGCCTTCTGAAGGGGATCTGTGGGAAAGAGTCGTGGCTGGGGATACTGCTGATCCAAGTACTCCGCAATGATGAGCGACTCCACGAGTGTCGGTTGATCCTCAACAGCAGTGAGCTGCAGGGCAGGAACTTTGCCCAGAGGACTGTAGTCCTTGTACCATTCCGGCTTCTCAATCAAATCAACGTAGATCTTGTGGTGTGGAATGTTTTTGGCGGCCAGCAGGAGGTGAACCCGCTGGCTGAAGGGGCAGAATGCCATGGAGAAATAACGCAGGACTCCATCTTCGGGTAAATCCGGTTTGGTGGAACCTGCAAAGCCAAGAGAAGAGTTTTATTAATTGGCTAGGATTAAAGCAGAAACCCAAATACCAGATGAAGATGCAAAGATATCATTTCAGGGTACATATATATTGTTTTAATAGTTTCTCGCTGAGCGGTTTCACAATCTAAGCTTAAGTATTTTGAATCCTGTTGCACAGGGTACTCATGTTAATCTCAGCCTGGAACTGGCTAGAGGATCTACAAGGGCTGAAAGGCAACATCATAGTTGGGCTTGCCCTCATGGCGGGTGCGCATGAACTTGGCATGAATCCTGGCATCCAGAGCCGTGGCCTTGACAGCCTCGTCCTTGGCCACCAGATCGCGCCACTTCAAGAGATTCTGATAACGTGTCTTGTCCAGCTCGTAGGGCTCATCCAGCGAGTACTTGAGGGCGGGGAATCGCTCGAACCAGGGCCAGATCATGTAGTCCGCAATGCCGATCTTTTCGCCACCGAAATAGGGAGTTCCCCGCTGGGTGATCTCCTGCTCGAAGACATCCAGAGCGGTCTCGAAGTTCTTGATGGCATCGGCCGGCGGATCCTTGGTGAAGAACACCGGATAGATGGCACTGACGGCGGGAGCCAGGCGTTCGATGAGGATCCTGTCCAGGGCCTTTTGCAAGGGATCCTTGGGGAAGAGTGAACCCTCGCCGGGATACTGCTCGTCCAGGTACTCGGCAATGACCAGGGACTCCACGAGTGCGGGCTGGCCAGGAAGGTGTGGCAACTGGATGGCCGGCACCTTGCCCAGTGGACTGTAGTCGATGTACCATTCCGGTTTCTCGCTGAGATCAATGTAGACCGTGTGGTGGGGAATCTTCTTGGCGGCCAGAACCAAGCCGGCACGCTGGGAGTACGGGCAGAATTTCATCGAGTAGTAACGCAGGACTCCATCCTCGGGAATTTCCGGTTTGGGCGAACCTGTTGATGGGTGATTTGTGACGTCAGCGGAATGTTCACCATTAGGCTTGGGGCTACAATTAAATCTATATCTGTGGGGTATTTACGATTCTCATGATGGGGGACAGATACTACGATTAAATCAGTGGCCAACTTCTGCCGCGTCACTATCCCGGTGACCTTGAAGTGCCCCCCACTTACCCCTCTTGAAGTGCTTCTGCGGCAGGGCCATTTTGTTAACAATTTTCAGATAACTCTTTAGGCGAGAAATGTCGGTAGATGGTTTCAATCGAATGACAAACGAGCGAAGATTCGTTGGACCTTATATAGTAATCGCTGGAAGAGCAAATGTATCGAATAGTTATATCGAAAGGGCGGGTCACCTTAAATTATTTGAGCTTACAATTGCATTAATTGAGACCTAGCAAATTAACAAAATTAAGTTAAAAAAAGATAATTTAAACGTTTTCCTCTTTTTAAACGTAGAATTAGGTTTAAAATTCATTATACTACTTTTTTTTTTTATTTCGAAATAATCAATTTTGATTTTTTTGACATCAATTTGAAATTCGTAAAGTTGCTTTGAAAATTCATTTATTTTTCAATCACAATAATGCTGCTATATGTATGTATAGGTACAATCAAAATTAAACTTCATAATATGTACATGCTGATATGTATAATATAATATCTTTTATGACTACTCCAATTTGGCACGCTTGGCTTCATTGCTAAAAAAAACGTTATTAAATTATATATATAATATTTAGACTTCATAACCTACAAGAGCATATTGTAGTCTGCTTTGCCCGCTCGGCGGGTACTCATGTATTTGGCATGGGTTTGTCCATCCAAATAAAAAGATTTGACTGCCTTATCCTGGAGCATCAAGTCGCGCCACTTAAGCTGGAAATACAAATTTTAATTAAATCATAGATAACTTTAGATATCCTTGCAAACCCACCAAAGAAGCAAAACGCTGGGGATTTAGTTCGTAGCTATTACCCATGCTAATCTTTAAGGAGGCAAAACGCTCGCACCAGGGCCAAATCATATAGTCCAGCATTCCCGGCTGGGAACCGCCAAAAAACGGAGTTCCACGTTGCTTCAGCTCCTCTTCGTAAATGTCCAATCCGGCATAGTGGTCAGTGTCGCCCAGCTGGTCGGGATTGTCATGGAGCACCAGGCGGTAGAAGGCGGTGATAAACTGCCCAAAGCGCTCGATCAAAATCTTCTCCTGGGCCTTCTTCAGCGGATCCTTGGGATACAGGGGCACCTCCGGATACTTTTCGTCCAGGTAGTCGCAAATGATGAGCGACTCGATCAGCACGGGATTCCCCGGTTCATTTACCAGCTCCAAAGCCGGCACCTTCGAGGAGCTGCTCACCTGCGGGAACCACTCGGGTTTTTCGCGAAGATTGATGTAAATGTCATGGTGCGGCACGTTCTTGGCGTCCAAAACAAGGTGCACACGGTGTGCATATGGGCAAAAGCGCATCGAATACAACTTCAAGACCCCATCATCCGGGAATATGGGCTTTTCAGAACCTGCCAGAGCGAATTGCATTTTAGTACACCAAATGAATTTAAAGATCTCAATACTAACCCGTAGTTAAATGCTTAGTATCACTCATTTTGGCAAAGAGAAATAACAAGGCAACAAAATCAACTTGTTTTGATGTTTGGAACTTATCGATGTTTGATTGCAAAAGTAAAGGTCGCTCGATAGGTTAGTTATGACAGTGATTACAAAAATATATTAAACAGACTACTGGTTTTTATTCAAGGTGAGGGATTTGCACTGAATTATTTTTATTTAACATTATTTACAGTTTAAAACGTTAAATCCAAATTTTGAATATATAATTCTATAAATTTGACATTTGTTATGCAGTAAATGTAAATTTCTTGTAAGTGTCATTTTAGCTTTTTAATTTGTATATTTATTTAGTTAGTTTAATTTTAACTTTACTGTTTTCATAAAAATGTTTTTTCCCGGTTGAATTTGAAACCACTCTGGAGATGTGACCAAATATTGCTGCCGACATATAATATACCCAAAAAACCACCTTAAAAAAACACCAAAATATTTCGCACAAAACTATAAACGGTCACTCTGCACTAGCCGCCTATCGATAATTGTTATAAAAAAAATTGTTATAGTTGCGGATTTTTTGTGTTTGGTGTGTGTGCGAAAAAGAGATGGCAGCGGCATATGTTTAACGTGTCCGGAGAATGTTTACAGTTAGCCCGCCGCTTGCGTAATTGAGCCCGTGTTGGTGTTGGTGGCCCTATCCGTGCAATATTCCGCCGCTCCGGTCGGATTATCCGTGTCAAATCGAGATTATTGCAGCGTAATTGACATTCGGCGTTATCTCGACGCCGCCTTTAATTCACGCCCACCGCATCGGCAGTAGCTATAGCCCCAGAATCAGCCAGCATTATCTTCGATCCCGCAGTCACTCTAGGAATTGATAAATAGACCCGCTAGTCCCTTTGAGTGTGTGTGTGTGTGATGTGCTAAACAGTCCGGTAAATTCACTGGTGAGTAGTGGTGCAACTATATTAATTACCCGTATTCGTGATTAAACCATATTTAAGTTTAGTATGAGAAATGCATGCGACGGGCCCCCCATCCTACCAACCACCGCCCACCACCCACTCGCATTTATTTATAGCGGGCAATTTCCATGTGCGAGATTTTGACACCCGCTCACTTACATACTCACACTCACACACGCACACAGATGCACACGTAACTACACTAACATTCAGCACGTTTTTATGCTATTTTCGATCGGCATACTTATAGTCATGAGTATTTTCTATACATAATTCAACGCAATGCCGAATGCCATTTCCATTCGCTATCTTCAGAGCCTAATTACCCAAAATCAGTGGAATTATGCGTAGTAGCAAGAATGCTTATCTATCAGTGACGGGGCTGGAAAATGTTTTAGAGGGGTCTAGCCAAACCTTGAATATCAAGAAAACTAGAGCATGTTTTCGCAAAGGGCGCAGTCGTGGCAGTCAACAAAAAAAATCAAGTGAGATTACTATAACGATTGTATCATCGTTACTTCATCATTACTTTTTCAATTTTAAAATGGAAATATTTAACCAAAAATTCTAAATAAATACTTACACAGCTTTTGTACGTTTTTTGTTGTACTTTGTACTCATGGCAATATATAACACATTCCTCTTATGGAATCAAAAATTCATCTAAAAATTTAATTTTGTTCTCACGAGTTATTATCTGCCCGACCCCTTTATTCAATGATTACTTAAGAACCATATGTGTACAAACAAACATATAAAATAATTATTTAATTGTCAAAATTGAAATGAAAAAATTGTTATATACATTTTTCAACTTTTTCTTTATAATGTTTAATATAATATATCTAAAATATGAAATATCACTGAACCCGGATGATTAAACGCCTTTTGAATCCGTCACTGTTTTCGCCACTGACCCATATATCAGCATGTGTTTCTTTCGCACTTTTGGCTGCTTTCCACATAGGTTTTTTTGTTCAAAAGTGTAGGTGGGTGCGTGAATCATAGATAATGCCGGTTGTGGCCAACAGAAGAATCCTTATCGGCCGAGAACGGTTCCGTTTCTGCATTCGTCCACAATGCCGCCAATCAATTATTCACGAGTCAGCGAAATTTGCAAACCTATACTTGCAATATGCGATATCAACCACAATTACCGCCTTGCAACCTGGCGCCGTCAGCTGAGGCAGCCAGCCACTCGATACGGAAAACAAACAATTCTCTACGATCATTTCGATGCCCCCAGATGAATTATTTATCGCTAATGGCCAGCCCTTCAACATCAGTTATGTGTCAGTCGTTATACTAGTGGAATATTAAACCGCCAGTCCACGTAATTCACGAGTCAGCCAGTCGACGAGCAATGCAAGGTCAGAGCCTCGTCCCGTCCGGATTCGATCCAATCGGAGCGGATCCGCAACATTTCATTCCGATTCCGACGTGATCGACCTCTGCAAAAGTCGGGGTTATATGTTAGTGCTTCTATCCATCCAGAACTTCGAATTTAATTTGTTGGCCGTCACATGACCCGAGGTTTTTCATATCTTCCAACAAAACGAGTCAGTCTACTGAAATTTCACATCAAGCTTTGAGCCAGCAATTTACTGGCACACCGTATAGGTAAAAAGATAATGCTCAAAGGTGTGTGGGTATGTTTGGGTTCTTAGGTACACACACATTTTGCAGGTTTATTTGCCTGAAGTTTCAGGTATGAAATTCGTTTGTCGAGAGACCAAGATAAAAGATAAATTGCTGAGGCAGGTAGAGGGCATTTTTCGAGTGTAGATGTAGATGCCTGGTTGAAATTTCAGGTCCAGCAACTGGAGATTGCGTCAGCATTTAGTAAATATGTACGTTATAAACATATTAATCGTGCGAGAAGTTTTACGAGTTAGTTCCCAGGTTTTTGCCGGCTTTGCACAATTTCAGGTTGTTATATGGCGAAATTGTGATATTTAATAGTGCCGAGTCAGACGAAGGTTCCAACGTGAAGATATCATGTGAAATTTATTTCAATTAAAAGTGACTCATCAACATGGCTGCTTTTTTATGATTTGTACTTTGAGCGATCGCCTGTGAAATTTCAGTTTTAATGTGCAGATGCCATAATGAAATTAGATTATGCGACCTAAGCATTAATGGGGAATAAATTCCAGGAAATCTGAGTTAATGAAATGGAGATTTCATGTGAAATTCGAATACGTTGACTCAGACTGTGAGCGAACTTCACAATTTTGCGAATTAAACCCTCGGAGATGTAATGTGAAGTAGGGAATGAGTAGAACCCCTGTGGCCACGTTTATTATTTGTGCGGTCGGCTGTGAAATTTAAGCTGTTATCGGTAGATCTCAAGACAGATTTTTATTTTGCGTACCGAACGTAAATGACGTAAAGAGTTCCAGAAAATCTGAAATGGACCAGCCAGTCTGCAGCATTTGTTGGAATTTCACAATTAGCCAAGTAAAACCCACCCTCCATATGAAAATTCAGATGTTGGGTTTTTGCGAAAAATGTAACTTGTTTGGTAAAGAAATGAGTCAAAGAAGGTTAAGGATTGGATTTGGCTCAACTTAAATTTCAGTTCAGGAAAATTACACACTATGCGGAACACCTTTTTTTATTCAGAACAGAGTTGAATGACTTTTCCCCACCATTAAAAGTAACTGCGGTTTTTTCTGTAAGTCAGCAAAACTCATTGGAGATATCATGCGAAGTTTTGTGCATTTAATTGAGTCAGCAGCGAGTTCAGTGACTTTCTGACTATAGCATTGCCCCGAGGCCTCGAACAACCCAAATGGAGATGTTATGCGAACTCAAATTGAGACAGCAAAAAAACAAAGTAGAAAAAAGGCATAGAAAGAGAAATGGTTAACATGGCCGACCTATAAAAACAAAATCAAATAAAGGGCCACTACATATTTATGAAAAGCCCTCTTATTTTTTGTTAAATCTATCTATTTATAAAAATAATTCAAAAATCTGAACAATATTGGCATATAGAAAATAGAACTCTTAAAATGAAAATCTGCTATTATTTTATATGTGTGTTTTTGAAACAAATTTGTTGTATACAACAACATGTTTTACATTGTACTGAGTTTGAACACAACTGCTTCTCAGAAACCCAAAAATATTAATTTATTTAAAGTTCCTGAACAAAAACAGATCATAATTTTCCGACGCAATAAACAAGAATATATATATTTTATATATTGATATCAATTGAATTTCTTTGATTATTTGTTAGTGCAGCATTCGTAGTTCAAAGATTTTTTAATACGATTTTGATGGATAGTTTAGCAAAAAACCGTAAAATGTTTTAAATTTAATTTTGTTGTTGAGCCAATTTATTGACATTTTTATTGATTATAAGTTAATCAAAAAAAGCATGAAGCATTCCGCTTCGTCCAAAAAACAAACTTGAAGTGGAATCGTTAGATTCTGTCGTTCTCTTCAAAGTTAGCCATGGTCCGAAATCAGCCACGCCCCGTCCAGTTAGTACGCCTTCGATGTGGGTATGCTTTAACGTGGTCTCCATCATATATGCACACTCACTCAATTAGCCAGCAACACGAGACTGGCTTATAAATCAAACCGCAAGCGACGCGCGCCGCTCAGTTGCAAAGTGTGTTCAAAGCTCGCTGGTTGGTGGTTCTGCGGATCGCGAATCGGTTCGCTACGGTTCAGTGTTTCCCAAATAGAACTCCATTCGGTACGATATTCATCCCAGTTATGTTTAAAAGTTTTCCAACAACTTGATTATCAATGTGTGGGCTGAAAGAAAGTGAATTCAATTGATGACCCTACGCTCCAAAAATTTGTGGCATTGAAACCATCATAAAAACGAGCTCGTTAAACATTTTTCTCCCAGTGGTTTCATTAAAATCACGCGAACAGAATTTAAATGAGACTTGATTACAAAAAAAAAAAATAATAAAACAAACAAACCGATATAGTAAAAAACGAAATACAAACTAAACAGCCAGTCAATGGCGGCAGCACTTGGCCAATTGACTGAGATTGCAGGATTGATTGGGAATATTTGCCGATGAATTGGGTCTGATCTGATTTGGGAAATTTGTATGCAAATAAGTTGCCTCGTTGATTGGTTTTTATTGCCTTGAAATTAAGTTTCTGCCTTGCGGTGATTGTTCGCGAATCCCTC